GGGTTTCTCAGCAATGGTCGATAAATCAAGCGGTTTGGATTTAGTCATATGTGGCGGCAGGTACTGACATGGTGGGTTCATGCAAGCTGGGTTCAACAGGAATGCCTAAGGTAGAGACAAACTTGATCCGAGTTTGTGATTCTCGAGTCATAGCTTCATAAAAGTCGTCGTCATACAAATTCTTTTTCTACACTGTTTTCTTTACTTTTTCTGCAACCTAAGCCAACGACAACTGAGAACAGAACAACAAACAAACGGACGAGACAGACAAATTGATACTGAACAGAAGCAGATTAAATCTCGAATGATCAAACCTGCTAGTTGAATAGCAGAGTGCGTGATTAACAAAACTAACAAAGTAAGAATATTATTAAATAAACGAGAATGCCAAAACGGCTATAAAACTCTAAGAGGCTACATTGTGAATGACTTAATCTCTCTGAATGAAAGCTCTTTATTTATAATAAACTAACCCTAGTCCCTAATAAGTAAGGAAACGAAAACCTAATTCAAATGGGTTAAGCCCAAATCCAAACACTAAATAAATAACTATTTTCCAACACCTTCAACATTGAGCAATTGACCAAAACAACTGCATCATTTGGAATCGCGAATCGCTCTTTCTTTCATTTAAATACCTTATACCATTGAATTGTTGGGGCGAACGAACAATCTCTATTTTCCCCAAGTAGCAACTCCTGAGCATTCTCGAGGTCTACGATATATCTAAAATCATTTCATCAAACACATAAGCCCTACGATTATCAAACATGTCAAAAGTTGAAAATTATACAACGCAAACAAAACAAGCAAGCAAGTCAAGAAACTCCCAGTATATAATTAGAACAAGAAAAACAAATCAAGGATTACAACGTTCATCAAAATTCAATGTGAATAGATCGAACTAGGGATGGGAAAAATACTCATGGGTTTGGATAACCGCGGTTACCCGTCCATTTAAAATTCACGGTTACTGTTATGGGTAACCGTTTAGACGAACAAATGGTTATGAGTATAACTGTTTATCCATGAAATTTAAATGGGTGGTTATGGGTATTACCCACGGTGATAACGGGTATCCGTCGGTTTTGGGTATTACACGCAATTATAACGGATATCCATTTACCTATTTAATTTAATATATGAAATTAAAAAATTAAAATTAAAAACCTTAAATTTTCAATATCTCCGTCAGACTCGGAGTCTCAAACGCCCCGTCCCTCGCTCATTTCTTCCTCCTCGTTACCCTTTCTCTCATCTCCGCCACTCATCTATCTCTCCTCGTCGCCCTTTCTCTCATCACCGCCGCACTCTCTGTCATCTACACCGCTTATCTCTCTCTCCTCGCCGCTCATCTCTCTCTCATCGCCCCTCAAGGTTAAGTCTACCTTTGTTGGATTCATGCTAATTGGTATCGATGTTCCTAAATGAGATACTAATTCAATTTATACATTTCTTTTGTAGGCCTCTTTTGGTGACAACGAGTTGATGAGACATTGTGATTGAACGTGCTAAAGCATTAGTGTTCGAAAGTGTTTAGTTTCAGAATATTTTGGAGTTTTGAATCATCTAATATTCAAGATAATGACTACTTTTTGTTTTTAGAAGCTTTACTTTGTAATCATATGGATTATAATTAAAGACTTGCTTGGGTGTAGTAGAAAAATATTGTTCGTAAACTATTATTTCAATTATTGGAATTGTATGAGGACTTAAATGATTAAAATAGGGAAATGCATGCTAAAATGTACTTATAACGGTGTTTAATTGTCAGAAAATGAAAATTATGACAAATTTTGCTTTTGTAATATTCAAGTTGATAAAAAAAAAAGTGGACGGGTGAAAAGGGTGAATGGGTAAAAAAAGGATAAACGGGTTCAAAAACGGGTAAATGGTTATGGTTAAATAGGTAAACGGTTATGGTTAAATGGGTACACGGTTATGGGTATGGTTAACCGTTTATAAACAGTTATGGATATGGGTATAACCGTTTATGCAATTACCAACGAGGAAACGGTTATGTGGGTATGAACATAAACGATTATGGGTAAATAACCGCGGTTACTCGCCCACCATAACTGTTGCCCATCCCTAGATTGAACCACAACCAAGCGGCCAGGTGGGGAGGGGCGGTCCTTGTTTTCTTGATCTTCCTGATAGACAATTGCAGCAATGGAAATGCTCTTGATTTTTAGGGGTGTATTTAATTGGGATTTTGAGAGATTTTAATTCTTTTAATGAATCTAGGGATATTAAATCAAGATTTTAAGTAATTCTTTGAAATTTAATGTGTATTCAATTATGATTTTAAATAAGTTTATAACATTCCAGATGTATTCAATTAGAATTTGATTTTAAACAATTTGAAAAAGTTGAGGAATTATAGGGAATTGAAGAGATTTGTAGTGTAATTTAAGCATCCTCAAATCTCACATCTCCCCATGAGATTTTGAGGGAATTGAATCAAAATTTTATATGAAATCTCTACAAATCAATTAAACTCCATGAAAATCCGTAGATTTATAAATTCATTAAAATCTCTCACTCCCAATTGAATACACCCCCCGCTCTTCATTTAGCTTCCTTATAAAATCAGATATTTCCGACAAACAAACAATCACGTTTCTCCAAGTCCTGAGCAGTCACGACCTTTTTCAATTTCCTTATAGCCTTAGATTGCCGAGGATGATAAACTACAACCATTTTCTCCAAATTCTGAGCATACTTCAGCATATACCATGCTAACTCAAATCCATTAGATCCACCATAATGCTCTATGGTCACATCCTTAAGACATTCTCCAAACCTGGGCTATTTGCTATATTTTCTCCCAAAATTTCCCCCCAAACACTACCCAACCCAAGCTAAGACATTGGGCTAAAAGTCAAATGCTAAAGCTGGGCCAAAATCCCCCCAAACACGCGTGGACTCGTAGCAAATTGGGCCAGTCTTGGCTCGCTCACTCACGGACGCGCCCCATGCAGGCTGCTTGCAATCATGTCCCGACAACGTCGGGGCCCACTGTCAAGGCCATGTATGCCACTTCCCCGAGCCCAACGGCTCCTTTCTGCATCCAACGGTTCAGATTCAAATTTCATTTTAAAAAAAAATATGTTATTTTAAAATACATTAAATCCAACGGCTGAGATCGAATATAATTAAATCTAACGGTAAAAAAAAATCTAACTACCCACGGCTAAAATAATTAAAAAAAAATATTTAACTCAACTAATATTGGACCTGTGTTTATAGAGGATGATTGATGAACGGTTGGTGAAAGTTGAAAGATTGGTGAAAGTTGAAGGCTTGTTTTGTGAAAAATTTAGTGATTTTTCAATTTTTATCGGAATTTAATTTTTTTTTAGATTAAAATGTTCATACAATTAATTTACGATAGTCTACATATTTATTTTTTATTTTTTAAAAATTTGATTTAAGAAAAAAAAATTAGCCTAAGTTCATTCTTTAATAATCCCGGGCTAAAATTTTAGACAAAAAGGGTTGGAGCAGAAAAATTGTTTATGGGCTAAAAGCCAAATTTTCCGGGCTAAAAAATTTGGCTTTTAGCCCAAGGGTTGGAGATAGTCTAAGATGATCGAAAAAAGCAAGGTTTTGCAACTTCCAGTATCCCATATTAAACCCAGATGTCTGGAAAGGCAAGAACACAAGAAGAAAATCATTTGAAAGTTCGAAAACAAGCACACACAAAGTTTGGGCTTTCATGTGAGATTTTTGAGCCCCAATAATTACTATTTGAAAATTTTAAATTTTAATATTTATGTGGGTAAATCGCCAAAATGGTCCCTGAGATTTGTATAACTCATCACTTTGGTCCCTGAGATTCCAAATCGATAAAAGTGGTCCCTGAGATTGTCTACCATCCATCATTTTGGTCCTTCCGTTAAAAACTCCAATAAGTGTCCCGGAGCTTTTGTTCGGAAGTTTGGACAATTTTCAAAGCTTTGTAACTCAATCGTTTCTTAACCAAATTTGACCCATAATATATCAAAATGAAGATAGGAAAGTGTAGAATAAGATTATACCTATTTCAAAGCCCAATAGTTGCAAGAGATGGCTGGAAAATAGCGTCAAAGTTGACTGGTCCAAGTGAAAACTTGAAAACTCTTCGGAAACTGGGTAAACTTTAAACGTTCATAACTTCTTCAATACTCAATGAAATCAAGTGATTCAAAAATTAAAATCATACTTCTCAATGAGACGAAGATAATGGTACCTTTTTGGATGGCTAAATAACCGTGGTTTGACCAGAAAATGGCTCGAAAGTAGCTAACTCGAGACCAAGACAGTCACTTTCGAGCTGTTTTCCGGCCAAACCACGTCGATTTAGCCATAAAAAGGTACCATTCTCTTTTTCTCATCGATAAGTATGATTTTCGTTTTTGAATCACTTGATTTCGTTTAGTATTGAAGAAGTTATGAACGTTTAAAGTTTACCCAGTTTTCGGCGAGTTTTCAAGTTTTCACTCGAACCAGTCAACTTTGAGGCTATTTTCCGGCCATCTCCGGCAACCATTGGGCCTCAAAATAGATATAATCTTATTCTACACTTTGCTATCTTCATTTTGATATATTATGGGTCGAATTTGGTTAAGAAACGATTGAGTTACGAGACTTTGAAAATTGCCCAAACTTCTGGCCAAGAGCTCCGGGACACTTAACGGAGTTTTTAAATGAATGACCAAAATGATGGATGGTGGACAATCTCAGGGATCACTTTTATCGATTTGGATCTCAGGGACCAAAGTGATGAGTTATGCAAATCTCATGGACCATTTTGGCGATTTACCCTATTTATGTTTATCTAATATACAAATCTTGAAATCCAATTTCATCCGTCCGTAGATATACCAATCTTGAAAATTAAATTCATCCGACAATGATAAATAGGTTGATGAGTATCACCATTATTTGAAGGTGGTGAGCAAAAATATTCCCTATTTATTCATTTAGGAAGAGCAAGAATCAAATCTTATAATGCCTCAAATCGTTTTATCAAACGCAAATTATCAAACAACAAAATTAGCCAATGAACACACAACACATTTTACCCAAAACTACTAGTTCAGTTCAGCTAATACACACAGTACACAAGTACACAAAGAAGAAACAGTTTAAGGATTACAATGTCCTTCAAAATTCATTGACGAATCGAGTCGATAGAACAAGGCCCCCGCAGCATTTGGGCAAACGACCAGAATGCAGGGGTACCTTGTTTTCTTGTCCCTCTTTGTCGATCTTCCTCAAAGACAAATGCGGCGTTTGAAACCCTCTTGCTTTCGTTTAACTCCCTTATAGCATTAGATTGCTCAGCAGAATGAATGATTTCCAGTTTGTTCAAGTTCTGAGCATGCTCGAGGATATACCTTGCTAGCTCAAATCCATTGGACCCACTGCAAAGCTCAATGGACACCACCTTAACCTGATTAATAAAAGCAAGTTTTTGCGATTTCCAGTATGCCATACCAAACCCAGATGACTGAAAAAGGCAACACAGCGCGTGACAAAAAAAATCAGCTAAAAAGTTGCTGAAAATTAAGAAAACACAGATGGAAAAATGCATTGAGAGTGCGGACCTATTACTTACTTTATATTCAGGGGAGAAGGAGAATTGGTCAGTCTTCAGGTACAAAGTCTTCAGTTTAGGCATTCCACTTAAAAGAGAGACCATTGCCGGAACCAGATTATCGAACAAGCACTCTATATGCATTTGCAGATAACTAATCTCGGTACCAAATAGTGCTGCTAGTGCTATGGAACCTTCTTTTAACAGTGCCTGCAATGTTATAAAGGAAAAAACCAAACAGAAAGATGAAGAGAACCCAAAATTATGTAAGAAACAGTTATCTAGTTTTTGCAAAAATAGAAAACAAATAAAATCATAAGTTTGAAGAGTGTTGTGTCTTCACCATGGTGATCTTTTTGTGTAGAATGAGAACTTTAACGCCGCGCATGCTGTGAAGAACCTTATGTATGATGCTGAAATCTATTCCAGATTCAGGCTGTAAAGAAAGCTCAGCTTTCTCTAACACATCAACTTCCCAAGATTTTGGTGAGAAAACAAAGTCCCCCACCAAGTTAAAGATTTAAGATTTGGAGCAGAAATATTTAGCGACGATTTTTGGTCAAAGAAGAGATTTCCCCAACGGATGTGTAAGCATTCAAGTTTCTGTCCTGATATGTTGAGATTGCAGCCAGCACTCAAACCGGGACACTCAAAAACAAATGATTCCAGAGAAGAGCTTTCGATGGTGATATTTGCTACCCCGTAAATATCTTGAAGACGGAATTCCTTAATGCATTTGCAGCAACATGTGATCCATGTGAAAAACTTCTCGTCCACAATACAGACTTCTCTCAGACTCAGGTATTTCAGGTTAGAGGACGAATCAAGGGGAGGTCCTTTAAGAACACACTTCATGCTCACTGATAGAGACGTCAAAGATTTACAAAGAAACATGAAAGATGATAATGCTAATGGTGTCTCCCTGGGTAGTGAAACATCAAGATCAAGTTCTTCAACATTACACCTTATTGCATTGTAGACCCACGCTATGATACGGAATCTCTCATCACACGCACAGTCTTTAGTGAAGCGGTTGTGAGTAACCCAACGAATATGAAAGCGTTTTATTTTATTATCTCCACGACGAAATAAATACCTGTCCAAGGAATATATCAACTGTAACCGCATATTGCAGGAGCATTTCTTCATCTTCTGGTTAGGGATTTCATTAATATTAATTTCCAACGACGGAGATGACAGATGAAATTTTCTGTATCTTTTGGACATGCATCCGAGTCGTGCCATGTCTTTCAAATCAAGGAAGGAAAAAATGTGCTGGGCAATTTCATCTGGAAGATTACTCAATCTGTCGATCATTTTACTCTCAATCGCACACACTCGTTGACCTCGAGAACTTGCACTGGCCACTAACTTATGCTCCATAGCAAGACCTAGTGTGTTTTTGCGTCTTACTTGTATGAGATCGGAGTTGGTTTCCAATTTATAGTACAAGAGCCTAAAAGGAAAGAGGAATTAAACCAAGCTAAAGCATCAATTATATATATATATATATATATATATATATATATATATATATATATATATATATTCATTTATACACAAATCCAAAACGTAAGTGAGTTTAATGCAAATCCCTGTTTATTTATGGCCTTTGGATTGAACAAAAATAAAAGGATAATTGAGGAAAAAAATAAATAGGTATGCGCTAAAGGCAAAAATGTGTGCATGCAAATCATTTCTAGACCAGAGTAGTACTCTTGATACTAGAACTTACCACTTTTAGCTACTCATACTCTAGCTAGTAGGGGGATGTGCAAGCCAAACTCGTTGGATCCTCGCCATATTCCTTGGTCTTCCAGATTTTGGATCGAATTTGACTGATTCAAAGAAAAGCACAGAGAACCCTAATTTTTTGTTGGTTTACAGTTCTTGACTGGAGATCGGTGTTTAGATATGTGTGAGAGAAAAGCATCTGCAATCGATTTATGTCACTCCTCTCCCATAACATGTATTAGCACCTGGTTTCAGTGCCTTCTTATTGTTTCTTGATTTCTTGAAGTGTGGGAAAGAAACGTACCTGCAACTGATTTACGTCACCCCTCTCATCAAGTGTATTTTCACTGGCTTTTTGTGCGTGGTTCTCCTTGTTTCCTTTACACTCTGTTTGGATTTCCTTTACACTATGTTTGGATGAGGAAATTTAAGATTATCAATGAATTTTAAAATGATGAAATTTTATTTTCTAGAATTTGTGAATTTTCTTGTTTGATTTGGATGAGGAAATCTTTTTTTCACACGGAAATTCTAAAATTCTATGTTTATAAATCCAAATAAGGGAATTGATGCATGCCAATTTATAAATTCTTGTCAAAATTTTAAGTTTAATTCCATCATCCAAACATAGTGTAAAAGGACAACATAATTTAATAGAGTATTTGTTATTTTTAAACTCTCACTAATAGAAATTGGAAAATGATACCTCTTTACGTGAAATTTAAACTTGGGAATTGGAGGTCCCAAATCCCAAGTTTTTTTTTTCCACGGGAAAATTTTAAATTATTATGTTTATAAATCCAAACAAGGGAATTAATGCATGTCAATTTATAAATTCTGACTTTTGTCATTAACTCCCTCATCCAAACATAGTGTTACTCTTTTCTCGAAGTGTGGGAGTGAAACTTACATGCAACCAATTCACGTCACCCATCTCACATCATGTGTATTTGCACTGCTTTTTGTGTGTGTTTCTCGTTGTTTCCTTCACTATTTTCTCGATTTGTGGGAGTGAAACATACCTAAACTGATTACGCCACCCCTCTCTCATCACGAGAATAGACATTTAGTTTTTGTGTGTGGTTCTTGTTTCCTTTTACTGTTTTCTCGAAGTGTGGGTGTGAAACGTACCTACAACATATTTATGTCATCTCTCTCATCACTTTGGTTTTGATGCATGGTTGTCGTTGTTTCCTTTATTGTTTTCTTGAAGTATGGGCGTGAAACATAAGAAATACGTTGAATACTTCGTGACTTTATTCATCATCTAGAGTTTACAATATATAGGCACACATGCCTATTCTACAAGGAAAGTAATATGCATTACAAGGAAGGTAATCTGCAAAAGATAGGGAAACTAAATCTTAATCCTACAAAATATAAGACTCCTATAATCTTTATAGTAAATTCAACACTCCCTCTCAAGTTGGCTCGTAGATATCGCACATGCCCAACTTGATAAGTGACTCCTGAAACACTTCACTAAATACTCCATGAGTAAGAACATCAGCTAGTTGCTCCCCTGAATTCACAAACAATATAGACATAATATTCCTTTCGAGATTCTCCTTAACAAAGTGTTATCAACCTCCACATGCTTTGTTTTATCATGTTGTACCAGATCATCTATTATTTCCTTTACGGATTTATTGTCACAATATAACTTCAAAGCTTCCTTTGGTTCGAAACCAATACAAATTAAAAGTTTACATAACTAAAGAAGTTTACATATTCCTTGTGTCGTACCCTATACTCAACCTCGACAAAAGACTTTAACACTGACACGTCCCGATCCCGATATTCCCCGAACACCAGGATAGGCACGTGCTAGCCGACACTTGAGGGTGACGAAAGCCATTTATTGAATGCAAATGCTGAGAACAAGGAATAAGTAAGACTTATAAATATAAAAGAATAATGAATATGCATTTAAGGAACATATTCAGAGCACACATCTAATCTAGAACACTAAAAGAATTAATATAAAAATTGAATGAACAAAGGAGTGGGTCATACACCGAGAGAACTCGAAGATGCCAATGCAAAGGTGCCTGGACGCCGAGATTATATGCCTCGATTCTAAGTCCTGAAGGAGGCGCAAAACAAACATGAGTGGACCAAGTTAATATATATATATATATATATATATATATATATATATATATATATATATATATATATATATATTGTTGAAAATGCTGGTGGGTAGTGAATGCCCACAGTACTTTGGCTGAAGTTTTCAATGTCCATGCAAAGTGAAATGGAATTTGGAGATGCAGGATATGGTATTGTCAAAATGGATGATGTAAATTTCAAAGTGCAGTTAATGCATTAGTTCGAAGTTGCTCTATAAATAGAGCACTCTGTAATGCTTTCAAAAATACAGAGAGAATCACGGTAAAGAGAGAGAGGAAAGAAGAGGAGAGGAGATAATAGAGAGAGTTATTTTTGTATTCTTATTTTCAAATTATAATGAAAGCATCAATGCTGCCCCGAGGATGTACTCCAGTCACACTGACTATAGAGGAACCTCGTAAATTTTGTGTCTTGTTTATTTATTCCACTGCACCCACCATCAATTTTACAACACGTTATTAGCACGAGAAGCTCTCATGTTAGTCGAAAACACAACGCCATAAATCCGGTGAAACATTACCTACCTCCCACCTCTGCTAGCCAAAAATCTCACAGAATAAAAGGTATGTCCATTTTCTGTATCTCCCACCGCGCCAGAAGCGCTCCGCCGAATTTCGGTGAGAATTGAAATTTACAATGACCTGAAGTCGTCACGAGATAAGAAAACTTGTACCTGACAACTGGTTTCCAGAGATCCAAAAGAATCTCATTAGACTTGGAAACCCAGATCGCGTCGTTTTCGACAGATCTCGAGAACTCCCATGAATACTCAGTTGTCTGAGATGGTGATGGCAAGAATGAATCCACACAGGCCTCTCTCTCTTGTGCCTCCATCAACCCCGCTGTCATCTATGTCTTTGTATGGAGGTTCTTGCTTTATGATGCCATGTTCTCTGGGCCATGCAAGAACAACGCCAGTCTCTGGTAGTCTTTTTTTAGATTGAATTGGTTTTGTGTGACCTCCACAACAAACCAGCTGGCCCTGGGTTTCAAGACTGGTAGAGACAGACAAAGAAAGAAAAAAGGGGAAGTTTATGGAATATGCATGGCACCATCTGAAAAAGTCAATAGTGCACAGCACCATTTGAAAAAGAAAGAAACAAAAAGGTTTTGGTGCCTGGTGCATCTGCACCATCTAAATAATAAAATAAAAGAAAAATGATGGTGTGTCAGACACCTTATGGAAACTAAGAAAAAAAAAACCAAAGGGTGAAGACTTTTTGGATGGTGTCGTACCATCTGAAAAGAAAGAAGAGAAAATATATATTTATTTATGTGAATTGGTGTTGGTTTAAAATCCTTTCACAAGATCTATTTACTTTAAAACAATTT